CTACACTACCCATAATGCCCAGCTATCGTTTAGGACTACAGTCCCTGTGATTAATCTTCAAGCTCTGGGATTGGATGTTGGAGTGGCAGTGCGCCAAGGTTACGCCGAGCGTCAAACAGCTGTTTGAAATGGAACGAAACCACGCCAGACTTTTCCAAAACTGGAATCGAACGCCCCCCCAGAACTACACATGCTGGCTATTGTGTTTCGCAAAATGTTCTATGGGACGTCTCTACTGAACGTTTTTCCCACAATTAGAAGTTGCCAGTATTAAACACATTGGTGTTATCAAATGTAAAACATAATTAATAAATGGGTGAAAATCGCTTGTGTCCATAATGTGCAGCATTAATATATACCCACATGACAGCTCATTGTTACTTTGTAATTCTACTCCACTACAATTCAGAGGTTAACCTGGTATTTTTACTCCACTACATTTATTTGAGTTACTTTGCAGATTCTGATTAATGATGTGAAATATAAACAACCCTTAAATCAGACTTTAGTTACACCTGAGTAAAATTTAGGTAAGGTGATTGTCAAGTGCCAACAATCAGGAGAGATATTTGATAGTTGGTGCTTGAGAAGACTAAACATTTATCTGCAGATCTCTATAAAGTATATTCATTACTCGTTATTCTCTACTAATAGTTAATTAAAGACTGTATATTATGGCTATTTTGCACATCCCTTTCAAGATTTCAAGATTTTCTAAGGTTTATTGACATATCATATACACAACTAGTGTAGTTATGCAATGAATGAAAAACGTGGGTCACAGGTTCCTCAACAGCGCATTACAAGACATCTATCAATATGTGTGTACCTCCACCATTAAACTGTCAAATTCTGCACATTTCTTATACTATCTACATACATAAGAGTATAATTAATGTGTATCAGTTAAAATAAGTGCTTCAACATAGTTAACATTGCAGGAAAGCAATATATTAGACATTAAGTACTTTGTCAGGCTTAATATTTATCTGTAGATAGATACCCCCAAAGCTTTTTTCTTATTTGAAAGAAGACCTTAATCTAAAGTATTATTTAATGTTTAAATAAAGGTTAATTCGTTTTTCTGTTTTGCACATCCTCATATTAATATCTTTGTACATCCTGCACTAAACTGTTTTATTGTAGAGATCACTTATAGTATCTTCTTGATTTTTTATATTCTATATTTCTATCACAGACCTTCTACTTTCCCCCTATGAAAGTATGTACTCTTAATATTTTTTTCATCAAATATAACATAAAAACAATAATTCAATAATGTGCTTTAACCACTAGGCGGTGCACAAAAGGTACACACAGCCATAATAACTTTGTATTATTAGTGTAGGACACCCATGTATGTACAACATCTGAAGATGTGTAGTTTTATTCATGCTTTCACATAATTTTACAGCATATTGCTATATTATTTCAGACTCAGTATTTACATTCTTACATTCAAAGAAAATCGTCCTTTTATATCAGCTGTGCACCGTTATGGTGTAAATATAACCTATCTACGAATTAGATCAAATGTAAAAGTCAGCCGAATTAGTGTTGATACTGCAAGGAGACGTATTGTGTGAAGAGAAATTGAAGATGTTGTTTAATTGATGATATATTTATGATCCACGTCAAGTATTCAGTTTTGGCGGCATTTCTTCAGTTTTTCCAAAGGTCTTCTCATCAGGGCTCTATAAATAAAGAACTACGGCAGATCTGTAATATGTAATGCAGCCGAACCGTGTATTACAATGCCATTATGTGATGACTTTCAAAGAGAAAAGCAAGAAAAGTATTATTTTCTTTTAAAAAAAAAGTTTTTCGGATTTCATATCGCATTAACACCATATCCCTACATGCATTACGGCTAAAACATCCATCAGCGAGCTTAAACCATAGCTGAGGATCTTGGGTAATCAGTTCAGTGGCTGTGTATCGCAATGATGCTCGAAATGTCCCTTATAGGCCTACGTCTGTTTCCGGTTATTTTTATTTTGAAATTCAGTTCCTGACGGACGCCAAAAAAGCCAAAGATTATGGAATTAAACAAATAAATAAAAGCAAGGATAATTGTGTGTTATTGGTGAGTAAATAACAGTGTGTTATTTAGAAAAGAATAACAAATTAGAAGGAAACAAATATTTAAAAAATACAGATTTCAATATTCTGAGGCTCTGAGCCCCATTTATTTTCCTCACAGACGGCAAAAAAAGTCCGACATTATACGATTTAAAATAAAAACAATAATCATGGCTTGATATTGAGTAAGAACATGTTTTTATGAACCCCACAGCTTCCGGTCTTCCAAGACCCGACCGGACAAAAAGACGTGTTGCAGGCACGAAACATACTACCAATAGAAATACATTGCTTTTAAAAGCGTTCTGTGTGACACGAAAAAAAGGGGAAAATCGTGTTGGTGAAGACGAATCAATAGATTAAATGTCGTGACTATAACACGAAATGCCGTGAGACTGGGTTGGTACCACACACACCTACTGTACAGCTCCTAAAGCATATAATCAGGCTACAGCCGTTGTGTATTTTATTATGTGAAGCACTAAATGGTTTTAGACAAATATCGACTCTTTGTTTGTAGATATCTACTAAACTACAGCAAATAAAAAGAGAGTAGGCCTGTTATACTGAGAGATATATTATACACACTGCTCTGCTTTCTGCACGGACCTCACAGCTGTTCTCTCTGGAAACATCGCAACGCGATAAAAGCAGTTTCTAAAATAATATCCAGGGGATGCATGCAGAGCTGTCATTGGCTGAGATAAGTCCGGCCGTGCGTCAAGCCTCCACCATTCCCAGAAATGCATCCGCGGAGGAGCCGTGGAGGACCCATCAGTGTCTCCTCGGTTAGAGCTCCTCCAGAGAGCCTCCTCGATGCTCGATGCTCGATGTGCATTTAGAGAAATTAGATGTCCTTCAAAATGGCGCGCTGAAATCCATTTCCGGGTCACTACCGGAGGACCGAGGAGTCGAGGAGGGGAAATTTAAGAATTGAGAAGCCTCTACTATTTCAAGTATACTACGTCATCGAGTGGCGCCGAATGCTGGGCATTTAACATGCATTTCGGCCCATTCCCAAACCCCCCCTACACCCTACCCCTCCGTTTGCGCGTTCACGCGGAGGGTCCGCCATATTGAGGGCTGTTCCAAAGCAACGAGTGTGGAGCGGTGTGGAGGGGGAGTGGGCTATCAAGCCCTCAAACAGCGAGTCTGCACCGGTGCTGACTTGAGACCGGTCTCTACCTGACCGGAGTCACGCTGTGTGTGTCCGTCGGGAAACAAGCTGTTAACAAGTAGTTCCAGCAAACATCCACTGATAAACTGCGATGTTAACAACCTCATGATAACCTCATATGTTTTTAACTTAGGATCATACCTGTGTTTAGTCTAGAAAAAGGTAAATGTGTGCATTTTATTATAAAGTTGTGTATATTTACAGACCGTTGCAAAAACTAAGAAGCTTATAAACATCAGGTTTAAAACTAAAAGAGCTTTGAAACACAATGAAAGATGTTTGGAGTTTTATTTGAGTTATTCATTTAAACTTTTTGTCTAAGAGATGCTGATTTGAAACCGTTGTTACATACAGTTACGGCATTTCCTGTTTCTGCCGGAGAGAGGGGAGGCCGTCCCAAAGCTTGCTGCTGTATTTACTCCCTCCATCTGACAGGAGGGAGCCTCGTTGAGCTGCGAGTGTGGCTACACAGGGGACGGGTGGCGCAGTGGTCTGTGCATCTGATCATCAGATCAAGGGGGGTGCTGGGGAACTCCAGTTCGAAACCCGCTCCTGCCGCCACTGCGTCAGGCCGTTGGGTCCTTGGGCAAGACACTTCACCCGGATTTGCTCCTGTGGGTATTGTCCACAGTACATGTATGATATCAATGTGTACTTGTAAAAGCGCCTCGATGAATTCGAGGCGTGAAGATGGACGGTGTTGCGCAGTGCGCTGTGCAATGATCATCAGATCAAGGGGTGAAACCCGCCACTGCTGCGTCTGTAAAGCCGTTGTGTCCTTGGGCAAGACACTTCACCTGAACTTGCTCCTGTGGGTATTGTCCACAGTGGTGACCATTGCATGTATGATATGTGTAATGTGTATTTGTAAAGCGCTTTGAGCATCTGGAAAAGCACTATAATAAATGTAAGGTATTATTATTACAGACCGAGTTCACTCCGTCACGGAGGGGTACGGTCGAGGGAGTGGTTTGGGATTGGGCCTTAAACAGTCCTTCGGCGCCACTCGATGACGTAGTATACTTGAAATAGTGGCTCTGCAGCAGGTGTACTCGACATTGAGAAACGGCCAGGGAGAATGAAAAAACATGGATACAAATCAAAGAAAACGAAAAGAAAAAGGTGGGGCCGAGAGGGCAAGAGAAAAAAAGGTGAAGTCACTCGCAGGTGAAGCATATCAATGTCGCAAATGTTGCCATTTGACAGACCTTTTTGGCAGCAGCGCTGCTACAAGCATTATCAGCAGCATCTTAGAACACGTGCAAGATGATGAAGAGAATGATGAGGGTGCGAGTTCAGATATACAGCCAGCCTCCTGCGTTCATGATGAGGGACAGAGTTGAGCTGGTGGAAGAACCAGCTCAACTGGCACACGTGCAGGGCAAGAGCAAGAGGTGGGTGATAATTATCCCTTGAACTGCAGCCTAATAAACAGCTGATTTCTAATAACTAATAACAAATAGTATTGTATGTGTGTGTGTTTAATGTTTTATGACGTCCCATGTGTTCAGGGGCAGTTCTAGGGGGGGGGGGGCAGTGCCCCCCTAACACTGACCTCTGACCCCCCTGTGGCCCCCCTAAAAATGAAAAGTGAAAAAAGTGAAAAAAATGAAAAATGTATAATTTATTACACGATTTATTGAATGACGAAATAGGCGGAACTAACGTTATTCGTCATTCTAGTCGGACCCATTAGAGCGGTGTACTCAGGACCCATTAGAGCGGTGCACTCACTTTCACTGTCCGGCTGAAGCGTGCGAAAAACAAACACTTTTCATCTTGGATCATCAGAGGCTGTTGCGTCCAAGAAAGACTGATTGAAACCTACGTTTCGAGAGACTACCACGATAATTGAAGGTGAGTTAAACTATTGTCAGGACTGCACAGCGCAGGTGCGCATGCGCACCTCCGCCAAAAAAAGAGCACCGGGTCATTTGAAAAAAGGCGCATTTGCGTACCAAAATTGAGAGAGGGAGAGGGAGGGAGAGGGAGAGAGAGAGAAGAGAGAGAATGGAGAAAAGAAAAGAGAGGAGAGAGGAGAGAGGAGAGAAAGAGAAAGATATTTGCGAGTTGCATATGAACTCAGGGCCGGCCCGTAGCGCTGGCGTTATAGATGTTCACCTAGGGTGCCAGATCTGTGGAGGTGCTGCGCTGACAGCTCTGGGAGGGAAAACACATTTTTTGACCGTTGGGGCTCATCCTAATTTTCGGCCTTGATGTAACAATATTCATAATTAAGTAAATGTAACACCCTTTTCACCCCGGTTACACTTTTCATTTGCCCTGTACGATGGGCGCTGTAAGTGATGAAAATGGGGGATGTTGGCTTATCTGGCAACCGCAGCTCACAGCCAAAATGCGAGTGAGCGAGGGAGAGAGAGAAGGGCGCACCGCCCGGTGTTGTTATTAGAATCTGGTGCTAGCTGCTCTAACGGATATAAGAAGAAGATGTGTCTACAATAATGTGGAGGGAGAGTCCTCTCCAGTCAGACTGAGAGGCTGATAACCAGTGTTGGGACTAACGCGTTACAAGTAACTAGTACTCGAACGCATTACTTTTTAAATTCAGTAACTCAGTTACCGTTACTACATGGTGCGTTACTGCGTTAGTTTTTTTATATAGTCAACAGCCAGGCGAACAGAGATGAGAACTGTACTTAAGTACAGTACTTGAGTAAATGTACTTAGATACTTCCTGTGTCACATGCGGAGAGTCGGGCTGTGAGCGTGTTTGTGTTGTTTACTAACAAGACTATCATGGCGGCGGCGGAGCTCAAGTCTAGTTTCTCCACCTGGAGATATTCTCACTATTTCACTTTTGTCGAGCACAAAGAAAAGAACGTTTTAGTTAAATGTAAGTTGTGTCCTGGCGGGTCAAAGATCCTATCTACTGCCCAAACCAGTCATTCAAATATCTTAAAACATCTGCAAAAACAACATGCTGAGACGAAGCTAGTAGCTAAGACCACAGAGACTCAGCCGACGCCACTCCACCTCCACCTAAGCAACAGCGGCTGGATTGTAACCAAGGGACTGCTAGCCAGGGAAACGTCGATAAAGCCATTGCACGGTATGTTGTAGAACACATGCAGGCTATTGCTACAGTGGAGTCACCCGCATGATAGCATGTCCGGGCGGCACACGGCATATGGGACGGAACACTTTTTCCAACTACCTGGAGAAAGAATATACAAAAATGGAAAGCCAGCTAATATCGATGCAATCCAGATTGCATATAATGCATGTCAAGTTGATCAACAGATTGTATTATTCTCCAATGCAATAACAGTACTGAAATGAAGGCTATAAGGGCATTAATGGGAGCCCTTTTCACAGTAACGCATTACTTTTGGGTGTAAGTAACTAGTAAAGTAACTGAGTTACTTTTGACATGAAGTAACTAGTAATGGTAACTAGTTACTGGTTTTCAGTAACTAGCACAACACTGCTGATAACTACAGCTCAGTGAGGTAAAGGACTCTGAGTGTTTAGATAGTTCACTTTAGTCTAAATTCAAACAGTTTGGTCACAATTTATGTAAACACATATTTCCAAGACACTCCTTTATAATTATTGGGATAAACAGCTTTGAAATAATTCCAATGTATACTATAGGACAGTAACCAAAAATATCCTTTAAAACTGGAGAGATAAAAAATAAATGCATAAATAAATAAATGTTAAGGTAAAATAAGATATGAATGAACAACACAAATATTTATTGGCTATGGTAGGTTATTGGTTATGTTTAAGACATCTGAGGAGTGCCCTAAGAGAATTATCCCTGGAACTGCATAAATAGTAAACATGCAGCCTAATAAACAGCTGATTTCTAATAACTAATAGTAGGCCACTGTATTTTTTTTTCTGATGAATTGTGCTCAAATGCATTGCAATGACTTTGTTGACAATTTGAACACTAGATGGCATAAAGGGGCAACGCATGAGAGGATCTCATGCGCTTGCAGTCCTTTTAGCTGCCTCCTTCAGATCTCTCTCTCTGCTTCAGTCTCCTCTTGAAGGCATTCTTAAGCACAGAAATGTAACATTAGGCTATGCATAAAATAACCAAACGATTATCACATTAACTAATTTGAACAGTAATTCACATCTTCATCTCATAACAAAATAAGCTAAGGCGACTACTTGCATTCAGTGACTTGATTTTTTAAATGAAAACAAGGGACATTTTTAGTTTTTTATCTCATTAAAATATGTAATGTTATAACTATTAAACAAATGGGGACAATTCTGTTTCAATGTAGTTTGACCATTGTAACTGCTGTGCAGACATACTGATAAAATAGGGCTTCTAACTAATTACCTTAAATAAACTCACTAATTAATGAAACCAGTTCAATAGGCATTATTCTTATTCTTATCATTCTTTATGAGTGCAGTAACGGTAAGGTATCTAATTACTTATCTATCAAGTATTCCATCACTTAATAACAGAGATGGTCAAACTGAAGTAGAGACATTGCAGAAATCCTACAATGAAGCGGGACAGTGAAGTGTTCTCCGTGAGAGGGCGATCAAGAAAAGAGAGCGAGCGGTGAGGGAGTTTACAGATGAAACGACACAGAAAGACAGAAGCACAACAAGAAGTATATTTAGGTGTTTTTTTCTAAATAACCGACGGTGTCAAGAGGAAGATAAGTCCCCTGGTTGGTCCCCTATACTCTAACTGCCATGAGAAAACTCAAAATCAATTTTCCAAAATCCGACACTAGGTGACTTCCGGTGTGTTTCCCGCAGCGCGACGCTACAATACTAATTGTGGGCTTAGGCCTATCATGTTTATTCGGCCACAACAGAAAATAAACTCTCTCCAGAGGGGCAGGTCAGACAAAAATGGCAAACGGGCCGTTGCCCGGGCAACATTAGCCCGTACCTGTGCACGTCCCTTGTCCGTGCGTAGAAAGGGGGAACATTGTACGTTGTCGTGGCGGCTCCCGGACCGTAGTCGAGGAAAAGGGGGGTGAGTCTCTGCAGACTTCCGGGGCCGGAGCAAAACGGCTTTGGTTGATACACGATGAATAAGGCAGGCAGGTGAGCTCTTCCGTTTAGAATGGTAAAGTTAAACTGCGGTATTTAACTAATTTCCACTACAGCGCGGTTTAAGCGTGCCGTGCCCGGCCCGGCCCGTTTTTGGTTGCGTTTCCACTTGGTGTAGTTCCGGCTAGCAGGTACTTTTTCAGTTTTCTGGCTCTCCAAAATCGAGGTTCTTTCCGGGCCAACAACCGGGCTTAGTATGATAAACTAGTGAGAGAATCGCTGGCAACTACAACAAAATGAACATATTTGACCGTGATTTAATTGTAATACACGTTTCTAAATGATGCCGAAGTAACAACATACCTGTTAGTAAAAACCATGAATTAATGCTTTGACAAGTCTGCAGACAGACGGCAGGCGAAAAACCTTAAAATGCGTGTTTTCTGAATGGAGATCGGCTAAGCTAACGCAGTATATGCTCCGACCGTCCACACTCACAACAACGGCCTATACAGACATAAATAAACCAGCGACTGTATTCGCCATGACACAGACAGTCTGTGGTTTGTACTTGTTTAACTTTTGTCTAGTTTCTGAACAGATATGAAGAGCTGTGAGCTAAGAGCTAACGGCTGATGTTGGTTTTGTGTTTTGCATTGAAGATGACGTCACGGCTCCGCCTACGCTGCGTTACTATAGTTACTACCCAAGTTCCTAAACTACGGTGGCCAGCAGGTGCAAACGCGGAACAACGGCCAAAAACGCATACATAAGCTGGAAACAGCTGCAAATAATGAAATGAAAAACAAACCCCGAAAACAAACGCAACAGGAAAACGCTGCAAATACAAAAACACATACAAACCCAAAAACACACAGTGCCCCAGGCCTCTAGGGGGTGCCCTACATGGAACAGATTGACCAGACGGAGAGAACGAACGAGAGTGATGGAAATTGAAGCCGGAGCAAACAAAGTTGTTTAAAGTGGACAAAGTCGATATATAAGAAGGTAAGTTTTGTTTTGTTTTGATACAAAGAGCGTCATATTTACCCAGCTAGTGTTAGCGTGCCTACAGTAACTACTACACCAGCTGAGGAGAGGAGAGCTTCACGTGAAGAGAAGATACAGTGAGGGAAGAACATTGTTAAAAGAGATGACAGATCAAGTGCAGGTAAATAACACGGGCCATAGTGAGTACCGCGGAAACATTTGAAGAGAGAGAGAGAGACATCCTTTGCAGTTTGTTTATATGTATGTATTTGTGTATAGATGTTGCAACTATACAGAGCTTTAGCAATACTATATATAACTATGGTCGGTGGAGAAGCGATAAAATGTGAAGAAGGACAAAGTAATGACAGGATAGTAGTGTGCATTAGACATGCTCAAGAACAAATATAGAGAAGACATTCAAGGAGAGAGAGACAGAACACAGATTCAACGGTAAACATGTATCTTTCTATTTATTCAGCAAACCACTATTTAGACTGTGTTTTTGATTGACTTGATTAAAGGTGGGGTAGGTAAGTTTGAGAAACCGGCTCGAGATACACTTGTTGTATTCCATGGAATGCTCTTAACATCCCGATAGCAATGAATATCTGAAGTGCTTTGACAAAAAATCCATAAAAAAACAGTCATCTGTGGAACCCGTGGCGCTGTAAAAAGCACGACCAATCATCTGAGCCGGCCCGGCTAAAATAACTGGATGGCCTACCTGCCTGTCAGCCTTCCATCTGTGCACAAACTTATCTCGTGCCCTCATTGGTCATGTGTGCGTGCGTGTGTGTTGGAGGAGGGGCTCTGGAAGGAAGTCTGAAGGAAGTGGCAGATTTATTTCGGCTGTGTATTTTCAAATT